TTAATACAGTTGTAAATTTCAATAACAAAAACTTTTATTCATTTTTCTCTAAGTTTAAAATATTTTTATTTATTTAATTATTTTTTCATTACTACATTGTTGTACATTATAATATAGAACTACTTTTTTTTTATTTTATAATTTCACCTCTTATTAGTTACATAAATATTTATACTGTTTCCTATAAATTCATAAATATTATTTTTTATTAGAGAACATCGATTTTGAAGATAACTACTTTGTTTGCACAAATGGAATAAAATTTAATTTGATTTTAACTGTGTACCCCAGAGGTAAAAATCACCATGTCTACTTTTTCATTAAATAATATAGTAACGAAGGAACATTTTTTAATAGCTCAGAGTTATGGAAAATTGTCACCCCTGAACAAATACAGAAATGTACATGGTTTTATTTACCTTCGGGATACTCTTGCAACAAAACGCGTTTTTTTATTAAATTGTTTTAATAACTAATTGGTATATTTGTTTTTATTTATTTATTTAATAAATCTTTTTTCATTTACTTTTTTTATTCATTTTAATAAATAGAAATTTTATTAATATATTTAAATCAGAAGCAATGCGAGTAATGATTGAAGTACAATATCCATGTTAAATCATTGGTATCTTTTGAGTTCGATTCAGGATTTAAGAATAAAAAGAATTTATTTGTAACGAGATTTGAAGACAGGTCGGACGGCTTCTGCCATAGGACAATACTCGAACATCACCCTACACACGCACCTTCACGGTCCTAGCTTGCGAATTAATTACCTACATAACAGAGTGTACAAATTATAGCCTAATAGAGACCGCTGTTTATACAACCCAGGACGTAAGAGCTATTGTGCCAGCTAGGATGGCATCACATACTCTTTCCAATGGCTGCATCGCTATTATACAGTCTGTTTCATAGAAAACCTGGCTCATTAGGGCGGGTCAGCTCCCCGCAGTTCCTCGTTGCTAAATCCGATCTCGGATCATGTTGTGAGTTCCTTACAATGGCCTACATTGTTTATCTTGATAGAATAAGTTGAGGTTAATTGAATAAATATTATGTATACGTCTTGAATATATTAATATAGTTTCATTTATCCAAGCCGAATTATTCCGATGCGAGGTTAGCTGAAAGGATAATCTGATTCCTTCATCTGATAACACAGCAAGTGAATAAAAATTATATAAGTATAAATTTATGTAATTCGATAATATATATTATACACCCTTCATATGTAAATGGTGGACGTTTATGCTCAACAATAAACAAATTACAGATTTTCAATATGCATTGATGAAATTTAGCAGAATTTTTAAATTTGCCGTGAATTATAAAAGACAAATTAGTAAAGGATATATGCATTTAAAGAAAAAACTATATTCCAAAATTTTCTTCCAGACGATTTTGTTGCACGACGAAAGTTGGGGTGTTAGAAAGAAGAATCTAACAAAAAAAAAACCTGACGCGAAAATATTTTTTTGGAAAGTATAACAAATACGAAAGAAATAGATATAAAAATTCTTAAAGGAAATTTTATCAGCTTTAATTCTTTATACTACAAAGTTTCGCTTACGAAGTGTCTTTTTCAAGGCATATAGAAAAATCTGGAATTAGTGACTTTTAAGGCGCTCCTCCAACATGAAGTTTTGAATAATAGTATCTTTTATGCAAAGAATATGCAATAAAATTGGATTTGAAAAAAATTTGATCTGAAAAAATATTTCAAAAACCTAAAAATATAAATCGTCATTGGATTCACTTAAAATTGTAGATAATTAATAAGAAATTTAATTGAAGACTGGGCATCAATAACATGCTGTGTCAAAACAAAATAAGTTAGACAGGCAATTTCAAGGAAGCTAAATACCGTTGTCAACAATAAAAAATGGGGTATGTGTCGAAAAGTCACCACATATGAGTCAATAAGTATAAAATATTGTGATTTTAGCCAGCTTTTAAGGCTGTTAGCAATGGTCTAATTGTTTTTGGTTTGGGACTTAGTCCGTTATTGGTGTTCATATCTTTATTTAAATTGCCAACTAGATAAAAGAAACATCATTTGTTCAAATAGCTTCATAGCTTATTTTATTTTGTATCGATTTTTAAAAAGAAATAAATACAAACGACATTTTTCCTTGAAAATTTTTCTGATGTCCTGAAAAAATGTTCTGGAACTCTGGTTGCTTAACTACAGATAAATTCACTGAATGGAAGACTATTACTACTAAGAAGGATGCTAATAAATGCGAGATAGTAAAAGCCGGCTCCTCCACTAAAAATATTCAATTTTATTAATTACCAAACACATAAACTGCAGAGATCCAGACGTATTGCATCTGGGCACAGGCGGATCTAGGGAGGAGGGAGGGCTTTCGGGCCCTCACCATAATTAAATTCCAGATCTGTTAGTGCATTAGATCTGGGATAATTGCAGCAGCAAAATCATCCCTCAAGGCAAGCCTTTCAATTAAAAAGGTAATGGAAGAGATATGATAAACCGAATATGAGAGATGATAAACTGGAGGATGTACAGTTAGATTTATGGAGACATAAAACCCATAGGCAGTTTAATGTAATGTATAAGCCCCCAATTCTGTAGCTCTGTGGGGTTCCCAAAGAGTTTTATAAGGTGACCTTAATGTAACATAGACTAAATGGGATTATAACCAATCATCTGCCGTTTGAAGGATTCTTGAGGATTTCAACGACTCTAACCCATTATTAATTATAAGAAAAGAAGACAACAAGCATTTGCACAGGTCAGAGTAGTGGAAACTAGGCTGCCATAGAACCCAGTTCTGTCAATGATATTGCTATTGCTTAAAATCTTGAATAGTAGTTCCTTAATGTTGTGCTTTAACGCGCGTTGTATTATAATATTATTAAGATAAATTAAAAAAAAAAAAATTGTAATTTTTTAATGTAAAAGTGCAACTTAATTATTATAAGCATTGTAGTTATCTTTATCATAAACTTAACACCCTTATCAGGCGTGGATTAAACCGTCTTCCGGAAATGAAATATTTGCGATCGAATCCGTCGTTAAGGCTCGTACTTATGAGAGTAATAAACATGATGAATTCACTTTCTGCAGAGCATATTGCATAGTAAGTCATGTTTACTATAATGCAAGCCATGAAATACTCCTACAAAATGGTCTGCCATCCAGTGAAGTTCAAAGAGAGATATCCGACCCTCCCCCCTCCTCCCAGAAGAGGAGAGTGTTGGAATAATAAAGGAACGGGCCGAGGGGGACCGGCAGCCCCTAAAACCTCATCCAACGGCTTTGTTACCGGCAACTTCTCCGGCAGCAACATTTCCAACGCTGTCTTTTTAAAAAGTCAGAACCTGAAAATAAACTACTTCCTAAAACGGGCCGAATTGGTAAGAGGGAGGGAGGGTTCCGTTTTTATTTCAGAACTTTTTCAACCCGAACTCTCACATAAAACCTGAGTGCGTAGAAATATGCATAGCGTAAGGCAAAACAGACGCATCGGCACCGCTACTGGAAACGTTCAGAAATAATAAAAGAACTCCAGAAGTTCCGAAATATGTGTATGTTATATAATGCTCGGGCAACAGTCAGGAGGTAGAACAACATAAAGTTTAAACTTGGAAAAAATCATAAATTAAGACCCAGTTGTGATGAAACATACAATCCCAAGATACGATAAACCTCTTGGTTAAGACTCGAAATTTTAGTGTGGGATTTGAATACAAATTAAATCAAAGCAGTATCACAATCCCTCTTTAAATATAATAAATAACTTCTAAAACTAGCATAGGAAAGTATTTTATTGGATATCTAAAGTGTTATGGAGTATAATAAAATGAAAGAAACTCTAATATTTCACACGTTTCACAAATTTCAGAAATGAGGCTTTGTTCCAGACTAAGGTTATCTATCATAAGAAAGTGACATCATGTCTAATCCAATTAAAAAAAAAATTCTTTACCTAAAGAAAACATAAAATTACTAGTCCGTGGTACAGACCACTAATTGTTAAATTATTAACATCCGGCTAAAGCTTCTAAAATAGCTTCATCTAATAACCTACAAATATTTTATTTCAGAAAATTCTCGGAATTTGGTCATTGGATCTAATAATCTACAAATATTTTATTTCAGAAAATTCTCGGAATTTGGTCATTTCAATTTGAAGATCGGCAAACTTTGTTTATATTTGATAATATGATCACAGAGTAGGAAAAAAGGTGGCCTACAAAAATATTGGTCCGTTTGACGTGACCTCCATGCCCAAAATGTCAAAATAATGAAGTTGTATAGGCCAAACGGACCAATAATTTTGTAGGCCACTTTTTTTTCTACTTTGTGATCATATTATCTTACGATTTAAGTGGAAAGCAAACGGGCATTCGTGAGTTTTTAGTACCAAATTAAATAGACAAAGTTTGCCGACCTCCATATTGAAAACGCCCCAATTCCGAGAATTATGGTGAATAAAATATTTGTAGGTTGCGAAGAGATGAAGCTATTTACGAAATTTTAGACGGATGTTAATAATTTGATTAAAAGGGGTCTGTACAACGGACTATACCAGCATTACGTTATTTAAAACTGGGAATATTTTAGTTCTAGAACAAGTTAGATTAGAATCCATGACTATGTTTGAGTAAACTGTTTGAAAATTTATATATTTTCTAAATTAATAATTCTAAAAAAATAATTAGCATTGAAAAAGTTATAAACATTGAAAGTGCAAATCGCTATACAAATTAAAAATTATTTTTTGATGTAAATGAGTAATGTAGTAAACTAAATACATATATATACGCCTGATCAAATGGTGAACATAAAATAAAATGCTGAAATATGCTACAAATTAAAAGAAGGTCATAGGCAACGGCGTTAGGCGATATATTTTAACCTTTTGTAAAGCTCGGATGATTGAATAAGGAAGAGTCTGAACATACAAGAAGAAAAACAAAGCGGAAAACAGAAAATGCAAAGCTAAGTTTTGTGACAAACCACAGAATACCATCTCCATGCTGATGCAGTACCGTACTGCAGAAATGAGTTCGTAGCCCGCGGAACTGTTCAAGATCCGGGTATGACATTTCGCGGTGGCCTGGTGAGGTAAGAGCCGACCTCGAAGATTGTGCAATTGTACCTGCTAACCGATGGAGGAGTATAGAATTAAATCTATCTCTAGCGGCGAACGGCCTCCGGTATCGAGTATACATCGCGGTTTTGGATGGTGGCAAGGCAGGTCTGGGGGGTCCGAGTTCTATTGCGTATCTAGGTTAAAGCGTATTTTACAAGGATATCAGAAGTCAAGGTCCTTAGTAGCTTGTGAAAGAAAGTTCAGCTGGATATAAGGTTCGCTCAAAGGCCAAATATAAGCAAAGCAAAGCAATAACAGAGGAAGTAAACGATTTAATGCGCTTTAAAAAAAAAATAATAGTAACTCTACGATGAGAGGGAGGGAGGGAAGGATTTTCGGTCTGAAGCAAAAAAAAGTAAAAATTGGAAAAATAATTATATTTTCATAGTTCCATGTTTGTTTCTGTGAACTATGCTATATACTTAAACAATAATAATAATATGACAAGGAGTTAGTCGAGGGTGCGGTCAAATAAATAAAAAATTAAAATATATTAATTATTTTAATTTTTGCCGACGTTTCGACCCACTTTTCAGGTCGTCTTCGTAAACATTCATTTATTTATTTTCTTTATCTGTTAACCCACAGTTATCTAATGTAATCTCTATTAGTTTGTTATACACTTATTCCTTATCTTTTATCGCAATCTGTTTATTTTTAACGTACATGCTATATTCTCCTTTATTTTTATTTTTATTCCTAATTATTTTCCATTTATTTGCATCTTCTACATATATAATTCTTAATATTTAACTATGTTGTCACCCACTATATCTCTGATACCATCTTTTATTTCTGTATCTGACAACTTCTTCTTATTTATTTTTTATTTTTAACATGTTTTGTATCTTTTTTAGCCCTGAAGACGACCTGCAAAGTGGGTCGAAACGTCGGCAAAAATTAAAATAATTAATATATTTTAATTTTTTATTTATTTGACCGCACCCTCGACTAACTCCTTGTCATATTATATCAACGGTCAACCATCTCTACATCATTAATAATAATAATATGTACTATTTTTACATTATGGCCTATATATAGCTACTAAATGGAATCAAATCTCAAGAAAAACACACACACACACACACACAAACACACATATATATATTATAAAATTAGTTTTATCTGTATACAAGCATTATATTCCTGTAATTGTTGCTTATTTTAATTTTTTAACTGGTCCTCAAAGACCCTATAAACATCATTTTATATATTCCTTTATCCTTTACCCTGCTTATTGTCAGGATTATGACATTTGTGGATGAAAATATGAAGGAAAAAAAAAAACAATTGTGAGGGAGGAGAAGTTAAAATGAATTATTATTATTATAGGCAAATCTTAAAATAAATATTATTAATTATTTTTGCCATTTTTATTTTGACTTATCGTCTCAAATATCCTTCTCTTCATTATTCACTAAAGCCGACAACCCACAATTATTATTTTTGTTATGGCGTTAGCGTTATTCATTGTAGGGGAAAATGTGTATATATAAAAGATGTGAATGATTTTAGATAATTTTTTACGATACATAAATAAAGATAATACCCGTAGTATATTTGTACAGGTATTGAACGAAATTAATGTTTCAAAATAACCCTTAGAGTATAAGCCTGTTATGCTCATTTAAATTTCAACTAATATCTAATTTACTTCAGGTTTCGAACTATTTTCATATTCAAATTATTTAAGTCCAAGTTTCACTACTTCTGTTTATTCATGTTTATTAAGTCACACAAAATATGACTTATCGTTTCGGATTAAATAATAATTGATTTTGCACAAAATACGCACTTACAAAAACTACAATCATTTCAATCCAAACTTTTAAGACTAATAACTATCGACCAACACATACGTACTCTGCTCATGATATTATCTTAAACTACACGGACATCACAACGAATTTATCAACTACATGGCCACAGCTGACATGCCAATCAGGAGACAACTGAAGAGGAGCTGGATGAGAGATCTACTTTCCTGAATTGAGGAAGTACAAAGAAGACTAGGAAGAGGTGCTGCTGAGTACTATTCTTTCTTATGCTTAAAATGCCAAATTTCTTAACAATAACAACACATCTGCTTATTGTCAGGATTATGACATGTGTGGATGAAAATATGGAGGAAGAAAAAAAACAATTGTGGGGGGGGTTTAAAATAAATTATTATTTTTGTTATGGTGTTATTAATTGTAGAGGAAAAGGATAAAGCAATATATAGAATGATGTTTGTAGGGTATAAAGATCAGTTAAGAATAAAAGATGTAAAAACGGTAATAACAGAGAAAATAATGCTTTTACAAATAGAAATAATTATATATATATATGTGTGTGTGTGTGTGTGTGTGTGTGTGTGTGTTTCTTGACACATGATTACATTTAGGAGCTGTATGTAGGTCATAATGTAAAAATAGTACGTATTGTTATAATTATTTAAGGATATAGCATAGATCACAGAAACAAATATGGAACTATAAAAATATAATTGGTAAATGGTAAATGGTTGACTGTCGTGAATAATGAAGAGAAGAATAGTTGGGGTGATCAGTCAAATAAGAAGGCAAAAATAAATGATAATATTTATTTTTGCCTTCTTATTTGACTGATCACCCCAACTATTCTTCTCTTCATTGTAAAAATATAATTATTTTTCTACTTTTTTTTTTTTTTTTTGCTTCAGACCGAAATTAATGCAAAATTACTATTAGAAATGCAACTTATGCCATCTACTCATAACTGGATAATACACTATTTTTTTTAACCACCTATGTACTGGAAAACTAATTCCTGATTATTTCAGATTTTTTTTCCCGGAATTCGCGCCGAGCGAAACATAATTGTAAATTATTAAACATAATATATAAATATGTATTAATTGGGTATTTTCGAATATATAGTCAAAACTTTTACCAAACGTTCTCTGTTAATAATAATTCTGTTAATAAAAAAAATTCGCTTTAATTTGTATCTGTAACTGGCGTGAATATATAAACAAAAATAGAAAATAAATAATGTCCGCGTTTGAATCCAAAAGATGAGTTTTTCATTAAAGGACCTATAAATTGAAGGAAAAATATTGTTGTTGACATATCACGCCATATTTTTCATAAATATTAACAAGGTATAAATAAGAGGGGGAGAGACAAGAGCTCCTCGACTCTAGCACTGACAGTGACAGGAGTGATCTACCGCCACCCCCGTACCTTGATCCTTTGTTGATCTTTGCAGCAACAACAACAATGCAGGCCGCGGAGGCTGCGTTCCTCCTGCAGGCCGTGTTGGGCCAAATAGCCGAACCGTTAGCCCTTCGGTTCAATAGGCTAATGATAGCAGCTTTCTATAGTCCATGGTTAGGTCCTCTCATATCGGGGAGTGATTAAGACTTCGTGCGTGGAAACAGCGGAGCATCTTTCAACAGCGGACTATCTGACCCAGGCTATGCCACCAAGCTTTTAGGCAAGCAAATAACGCGTCAAATTATTATTCATCCAGTAAATCTCAATAGTAACCAGTATTCCCCAAGAATTAAGATTTTTCTCGAAAATGGTTCATGGATTTAAGTAGACGGTTTTTAAGCAATAATGTGTTAGTGTTAGATTAATACGGAACTTGATATTAAGATGATAGCAAGGATATCAAGGCACTATAACACAAAGGAGATTTCAAATCAAATGTCGAGTGTGTCTAAACCAACAATTAAAACATTCTTGGTTGCTCATAACACACAAGAGATTTCGCTTTCAGTATTCAACAGCCATTTGCAAGTACTTACAATAGAATAGAGTTAATTAATATGGCGTTTGGACCTGACACAATCGTGGTTACGGTAATCACTATTTAAGCGTTTGAGAACGGAATTAATGTCGAATGGGGTTGTGCATGATTAGAAACAAATAACAGTTAAATAATATTTGCAATTGTATTTTTGCATAAATCGTAGGACTTATATTTATGTAGACTCAACAACAAAAATCACATATGATTTCGTGTGAATAGCCGAATAGCCTTAATCAGAGATTGAAACTATTTTTAAAAAGATTCCATACAAACCCTGCAGTCACACATTTAAGCCATTGAAGAATGGTGTGCAAATTGGAGAATTAAAATTAATCCAAACAAATTACTTTTACCCTTCGCCGTAAACCTACAACATCCTGTCCCACCGTATCCTTTAACAATATTCCACTGATCCCTGTCGAACAGATCCGGTACCTAGGACTCCTTCTTGACAAACGCCTTACCTGGAATCCTCATAGTGGACTTAAAAGACAAGAAACTGCCAACAGATTCCCACTACTACAACACTTGACAAACGCTCTAAACTTCCAATATTCTACAAAAAACTCATTTACACTACCATCATCAGGCCCATTTGGACATACGGTATTGAGCTTTGGGGCTCTACAAAAACAACAATTCCTTCCCGTATCCAACCCTTACAATCCAAAATCCTCCGTAAAATCCTAAATGCTCCTTATTATGTAACAAATAAAATTATCTATAAAGACCACAACATTCCTCTTGTGGAAGACCCGGCTCGAACTAGATATACACATTTTAATTCCAAACTCTTTGGTCATCCCAATCCTGTAGTTCATAACCTTTCATCCAATATAATTCCTGGCAACCCTCCGAGGTGTCTGAAAAGAAGATGGCCAACGGACCTCCTAAATTAATTTATCTTTGAAGTGTTACCAATGGGTAGCTACTTCACAAGTACCTTCATGTTATTTATTCCTTTAGCAGATTTACTAGTTGTATGTATGTTTACAGTTGTAAATTTCAATAAAATAAAAAAAAGAGGTTTCCATGGAATTTATTTTAAAATCTTATCTTTTATTTATCTAAATCATAAACAAAAAGTCACGTTAAATGAGAATCAAACACTAATTGTGCTGAGATTATAACTATAATTTATTTGTTTGAAATATATAATGAGAAAATGTTCTAGTTTCGAAATAAAAATAAAACAACATGAAACATTATCTACGGGCATACTGGAACCGATTGAAAGATAAATTTTCATTTCAAACCATGGTCTTGACAAAACTATTTCTTATCATATATCAATTCATCGTTCTACTTGTTAACGTTTCGGACCTAAGTCCCCATTATAAAAATCTGAATATCACAATCAAACTGTTAAATGATACATATATGATATTCAGTATGTATGATTTTTTCCAAGCTTAACAATCCCTCAATGAAATATCATTA